ATGCGATAACTATTAGAGTTATTAGGCTACTTAGTAGCCGCTACTAGGGATATTGAATTTGCGGTGTGGATTATGCTCAGAAATAGTATTTGGATAATCTTCTTCTGAATTACCGAAGAACTATCTCGAGGGTTCGTCGAGGCTCGAGGCAAACGCGCAATCTGACCGAACCCGGGGAATACCATCCTTCCGACCCGGGGAATCGGCATCTGCAGAATATCTGGCTGTCGCCGCAATTGGCAGCGTGCCACAGCAAAGCGACTCGCCTCGGGCGAACAGCAAGGTCGTGCGCGGATATTCAGTATCTCGCTGATGGAGTCTATCCGAGTCAGATAATCAGACAGCCTCCCAGTGCCTGTGGCTATCAACTGAGCGGTCTAGCCTCGACCCTTACTTTTTCTTCTCGTGGAAGTGCTTTGCTAAAGGCATCCTGAATTGTTGCAATAATATGACAGGTGCTGTAGACCCTATAAGTAACCCTCAATGCTGACGTAGGAGAGCATTTCAATGAATTTCGAATTTCGAGGTGGATCGATTCCTCGAATCGAATCGATTCGTCTGCCCGCCGCAGCATCCTCGATTGATTAGCACCGAACAATCGATCGATTTTCGATATCTCGATCCAATCGAGCCTCGGTCCGATGTATGTTCTACTCTTGACTTGTCCTCGGCTACTTATCATATCGTGCGCTGATCGTGGGCGCCCGCTTGTTCTTGATCGACACGCGAGCCCCCGCGCGATGTGCGTACGTTCGTAGTTAAAACCAGATCCTTCATTGGATAACACCGTAGCCATCTTGGCTCAAGTGCGAGTTTCGTTTGTTAATCCTATTATGGCGACACCTGGGAGATCTCCCCCTCCCCCCGCTACCACCGTCTCATCTACTGGTCATCAATCTGATCTACAAAGGCTTCGTCGTGAGCTTGCCAGGGCTCGCCGCTCCCTAGCCCAAGTCCGTGAAGACCTTAATAATGTGATCGACGACGGTTCGGACGACAACTCGCAGGTTCTGGACGACTTACAAGGGCGCGAATCTGCCGCCCTGACCCGTATCTCTGAGATCGAGACTAACATTGCTGAGGCTCAGGCTACCATCGACGCTGAGCGCAGTGATCTGGCCCGTCAGGCAGGATTGTCACGTGCAATCCAAGCTCGTTTGAGTGTCGAGGATCAGAATACGACTTCTTCACCTCCAAACGATCGTGAGGGAGTCCTTGAGTCCCCCCAATATGTGAGCTTCACCCCGAGCCGGGCCGGCAACGTGATTGATCCGGTCCCTAGAGTGGATGAACGCCCACCTACAACGTTGGCTGACCTGAACCGATTGCCCGTACCTGAAGTGCAGTCTGGTCCTCATGTAGCTTCTCATGTTTCCCTTGTAGAAAATCTGTTCGTGGAGGCTGGTGCTGGACAGTTCAGCGCCTCCGGTTCGTTCGTCCCGCACGCGAAGTTTAAGCTTACCTGCTTCACGAAGTTAGCGACGAGTCTGAAGCCATGCCCTGCAGCATTGGCTGTCGCTCATGAGGTTGCAAGGACAACGAGGTATGATTGGGCTTCTATTCGTCATGAACTCTGGCAGCAGTTCTCTCGTAAGGACCAGCTGAGGGACGAGTACCGATCGGCTCTCCAGTCCTTGAAGTTCGGGGGCTTGGAGCACGCGGATGACTTCCTTCGGAAATGCTCTGCGCTCTACCATCTTTATCAAGATGTTTACAAGGATGAGGCCTCCGAGAGAAGGGTCATGGTTCGCGCGGTTGTCAATAAGTTGCCTGAGAATCTACGCTTGGATGTGATCGAGTCCGTCCACCACTCCACCGGGGTGTCGCGTGACACCGAATGCACTACCTCTGAGGATCTCGAGTGGGAGCTCCTTTTGCCCTTCGATGGTGTTCGTGTGGGACCAACTGTAGTGAGGTGCATAAGGAAGAGCTGTCGTGTCTTCCGTGATGCTTCGATCAAGCTTACTCTACAGTCAAGTTCTGCAAAGGCGTCTGAGAAGGAGGCTGCACGCACAACTTTGCACACGCGTGCCGCCATTGACACTCTCTCCCAATTACACGACGGGAACCCCAAGCATAAGAGAGAGAATCTATCGAAGTGGGCCTCTAAGTTTGCGGCTGTCTATGTGATCGGTGGGCCTGGGGTACAAGGCCCCTCTGATAAAGTGGTTCGCTCGGATGAGTCTAAGACAATCTCACTTCGTTCGGGAAAAGGACAGCTGTGGTTTGTGGCCTACAACAACAAGACGGAAGGTCTCAATGCTGTTAAAGAGATTGAAAGTGATCAGTTTCGAATCAGACCCTTCCAATTCCGAGGGCGCCAAGTCGCTGCCGGAGCTAATGCTTCCTCGGAGACGGGAAACTAGACCGGTCGGCCGAAGATATTTGTGAGACTATTCTCCGAGTCGACCATTCCGATGATTATGCTGGTGTCTCACATGACCTCGATCTTGTCGAGGATGTACCCTTGTCTACTTTTGATTCTCTGCTCTTTGTAAAGTCTAAGCGCCATCCGCCCGAAATTATTATACGCGGGAAGGTCACTTCCCCCTCGGATGTGCGTTCTACCCTGCCCACACCGGTCTTTATTGATTCAGGGGCCGGTCTTAGCTATCTGTTGTTGTCGGACTCGTCAGATCTGTGCTGCGGCCCTGGCTCTCCGTTCGAGGAGTGTGAAGCAGATTTGAGCTCTGTTCGCCTTGCTGATGGTTCTAGGCGGGAAGTGTCCGCCGTCGTTGAAACCATCCTTGGATTGTTCCCGCATGATTGTGCTGATCCTCTTGTCCTGGGCGAGGTTCGTATCCGACTCCGTGTTTTGGTTGTGAAATCTTTCTGGAGAGGTTCTTCTACTTGGTGTGTACTTGCGGGTCGAAATCTACTGTCCTACTGGCAACTCGAGATTCGTGGTTCGTCTTATGCTGCCGTTCGTGGAGTCTGCGTATATCAGAACGCTGTGAGAGATCCTTCCTACCCTTCGAGTGACGACCTGAGTATCTTGCAAGTGCTTCCTGAAGGCTGTGAACCTCCTGATTTGAACCTACCTGGCGTTCGTGTACAGCCCTCTTGTGACGATTCTGTTGATCTTGGCTTCCCTATCCCGTTGGGTACCAAGACTATTAGCCGTGTGATGGACGTTCTGAATGCCCTCTGTGACGAGGGATGGGCTCCTCTGTTGAAATGTCCTGGCGATCGTCTCTCCGTTCGATTACGTAAGCTGTTACCAGTTGAGGTTCGTGACACCCTCCAACAACGTTACACATTTGAAATCAAGTTCGCTGGTTTTGAAAGTGATTCCGTGCGCGAAACGCGGAGCTGTGCTGGTGCTCTGTACGATCGTTTATCTGCTGAAAATCGAAAAGCGTACTTTGATCTTATCGAGGACTACGTGAAACGTTTTTGGTGGGTTCGAGCTCCGCCGGTAGTACCAACTATTTCTTCCATGTCTCCAGTCATACCGGTGTTCATGGTCGGGCCTTCGATGAACAGGAAGCCACGGTTGGTGTTGGACTGCCGAGAATTGAATCGCGGTCTCCCTAAGGCCAGTAGTGAGGCGCCTGATGCCTTTGTAGTTATAGGCTGTCTGCGGTGGCAGTCCCCACCAGTGATGGCGACTGTCGATGCTAAGCAAGCCTTCTATCGGGTTCGCTTGCAGAATTTAATTCTACAGCTAGGTGCTGCTACTTCCACGTATTGGAGTTCGCGTATGTGTTTTGGTCTGGTCTTTGGTCCCTGTGGTCTCTTGAGCTCGTTCGGCAAGCTGGTTGCAGCCATATCTTGTCTCTTCATGGTATGTCTCTGGAGCTTGTTTGTCGACGACTTCGTCATCGGCGGTAGTTCTGATGCTGTTATTAATAATGTGAAGGTTTTGCTCTTTGCCATGTTTGCGTGTGGCTTTGGCGTCCAGCTTGCAAAGCTCCGGTTCATTTGTTGTGCTTCTGTGAGTGACGCCATGACTCGGCTCCTGTCTTCTCTCGGTGTTCCTATCTCTGAGAAGCTTCCCGTGCTCGGAGTTAACTTCTATTATATTGATGATAACTTGATTCTGTCGTGTGATAGATCGTCTCGACTCCGATCGGTGCGTGACTTTGTGGTTTCTGATACCTCGTTCGAGACTTCCAAGTCTGAGATTTACTCCATCTGTGGAAAAATCGGTTTTGATCCCGCAAAGCGTCACCCTGATTGCCGAGCAGCTGCTGATGCTATGCGTGCTTTGATTGGTAAAGCTTTCAACAAAGAGCCCTGGTCTGAGAGAATTAATCTTGTTACCTCAATGACTACAGCTCAATTCGCGGTTTTCACTGCTCTTCTGATGTGGATGCGTGAACTTACTGATAATTGTGATTGTTCTCATACTTCTCCCTGTTCGTCGTCATCTGAGCCGATCTCTGCTCTAACATTGGCGTGCGATGCTTCCCGATCGGGCGGAGGATTTTTGATTGTGTCTTCCACCGAGGGGGGCGGAGATAAGAGCGATGATTTCGATATATCTTCTAGCCCTGTGATCTGTAGTGAAGCGTTTCGTTGGTCTAAACGCCAGCGTCTGTACCACTCAAATAGGAGAGAGTTGATGACTCTTTTGTTGGGTCTGCGAACTTTGAGTAAACTCGTGGCTCACCAGGTTGAGCACTGTGTGTGTCGTGAGCCTTTGTCGATTTCGGTCCGCTCGGACAATCGTGCTTGTATAGCTTGGTCAGCACAAGACGCCTCTAGTTTGTTCACGCGCAGTAAAGCCGTTGAGAAGCGCGCTATTGGCCGTCTTATCCTCGCTATTGCGGATGAGATCAAGTTTCTGAGGCGCCATGCTTCAGTCTCCGTTCTGCATGTTAAGGGTTCGCCGAATCTTGAGGCGGATCGTCTGTCACGTTTGTTCGATCGTCCATGTGGTAATGGTCTATCACTGGCGGACGCACTAGCAGGCGACATTGAGTCTGGAGAGATCTTTTGGCCTACGGATGATGATGAAGAAACCAAGGACTTGTTATGCATTTTGATCGACGACTTTGCAAGGTCGGCTTTGGACCGTTCGCGGCTATTCTCAGAGTTGGAGTCCGAGAATGTGGCCTCTGATCTCGGTGCTGACTTGATCGCTCTACTTCCTTCTGAAGCATCTTCGTCATCTTTCGCCGACCAGATATCTCATCAGTGCTATGACTTGTCCCAAGCATTTCACGCCGTTAAGGCTCTTCGATTTATCTTGAGGGTATTGAAGGCCAACTGTAAAGGACGTGAGGCTTTGGAGGAGCTCGAGTATCCAAGTCTTCCTAATGACCGTGATATTCGCGCTTTGGTTCATTCCGCACAACAGTCCGATGACATCTGTTCGAGACTGATTCGAGAGAGCCCCACTCCTTCTGGTCCCTATGTTCAGGACAACGATCTGGTAGTCTTCCGGTCTGGTACTCCATTTGGTTTCGAGCTGCGACAGTTCGTGATACCTAAGTCTTCTGTCGCTCTTCGTGAGAAAATTTTGCTCGAAGCTCATCGTCGTTGTGGACATCAAGGTCTGCGACCATCTCTGTCTTACGTTGAGGACTTTCATTTGCCTTCGGGCACGAGTCAGATGAGAGATCTTCTTCGCTTATGTGTAGTCTGTCGAACGTTGAGAGCTCGTCGTTATTGGAATGCTCTTCCTTCCGTTCGTACCGACGTTGTAAAATTGAACACGAAGTGTCCGTATTATAAAGTCGCTATTGATTATTATGCTGTCGGCGACAAGATTAAATTGTTGTCTGCTATGTGTTGCTTCTCGAAGCACATCTCTTTCTTTCGAGTGGAGTCGGAGACCTCGGAAGAAGCTCTAAGAGTGTTGAAGATTCTCCAACTCCGTACGGGGGGTGTCCGTATCATTCGTAGCGATCGAGCGTCGTATTTCCGTTCTGTGACGAACTTCGTCGATCGCGCTGCTACTTTGTTGAATGCATCCGTGGAGCTTACATCTAGTCGTTCGCCATGGGAGCTCGGTTCTGAAAAGCTGCATGATATCGCAGGAGATCGCTTGAGAGTTCTCTTGCGGAGTTCTGCTGGCCGATGGCCTGATGATTCCGTTCGTGAGCAACAACTTCTCGAGGAGCTCATGCTTCTGATGAATACGAGACCATTGGGTACTTATTATGTGAGCGAGAACGGCTCGGACGTGATCACTCCTGATGCTTTATGTTATGGTCGTACTCGCCGACTCGGTTGTCTGTATTCCGGTTCGACTATGGACGATGCTGAGTTTGCTACTAACTTCGCGCCATACCGCGTCAGAGCGTTCCGCAACGCCTTTGTGTCTTGGCTCTGGAGTGAGTTAAAGAAGCACTCGTGCTCTTCGGTTCGCGCTAAGTCCCGCGGTGTCACCCCCGCTGAGTTCGCTCCTGGCGATGCCGTACTCGTCTACATGGGTGGTAGAAAACTTGGTATGTCCTTTCGTCTTGGTCATGTTATCGAACTGGTATCTGGCCGTCGAGTCCGAGTTCGATTCCCTTCCGGTTTGATCACCCTGGAGAATCTGTATAACATCGTTCTTTTGCGAGCGCACTCTCACATTAGCCCCGAGCAGTCTAATGTTAGTCGAGTTGGTATGCCTATTGTGCTGGGCTCTGGGTCTTGTGAGCGTGAAGCCCAGATCTGCTTTGATCCCTGTAACTATTCAGGTGAGGTTTGGGTCAAGCTCAAGAACGGTAATGTGCCTGAGATTGTTGACCTGTCCTCTGCTGTGTGGCGACTCGGGTCGCTCTCATCGACCGACTCGGTTCGCCAAGGGGGGCGTGATAGTACTAGAGACAACTGTGATACTACTCTTCCGAGCTTAGTTGGTATGCGTCTCAGTGTACTATATGATGTAATCATTCCCGGTCGTAAACGACCGCAAAAGCGTTATTATAGGGGTACGGTTGTTGCTGTTCGTGCCTCCGGTGATGTTGATATCGAGTGGGATGATATCCATAGCGAAATTTCTACTCTTGACTTGTCCTCGGCTACTTATCATATCGTGCGCTGATCGTGGGCGCCCGCTTGTTCTTGATCGACACGCGAGCCCCCGCGCGATGTGCGTACGTTCGTAGTTAAAACCAGATCCTTCATTGGATAACACCGTAGCCATCTTGGCTCAAGTGCGAGTTTCGTTTGTTAATCCTATTATCTCTCAGAGTACTTGAAGGCCCAAAAGCGCTGTGTCATTTGTCAAGCGCAACGGCAGTCTCGAACCGTTAATCATACTCTCGGTTCTCACCTTACCAAAGCAGCCCAGCCCTGGGAACTCTTAGGAATCGACCTTATCGGTCCTTTTGCCAAGATGAGTTCCGCACTCCTCATTATGATTCATTGATGTCTTTGTTGGTGGTCGACGCTTTAACTGGTTATGTTACCTACGCTATTGTTCCCGACAACGCTCCTACCCATTTAACCCTTATTGCTTTGGAGGGCATTTTTCTAGCTCGTGGTTACCCTCTGGGTTTGCTCTCCGATTCAGACGCTCGCTTAACAAGTACTGCTGCAGTGGCATGGAGCAAGGCCCTTTGCATTAGGTGGGCACGGAGCCCGGGACACGCTAGTGACTAGCGGCTAGTCGATTAAATGGCTGGCATGAATCCCGCCGCAGATTGGTGAATTTTATGTTAAGATGTCTCATCCAGCAGACTGGCAATAAGATTCACTGGGCAATCTTGATGGCTAGGGTATGCTACATTGTTAATAATATTGTTCGCTCTTCTCCATCCTCCAGCTCCTTCAGTAGCGACCTGCATTTCGTCCACGGTCGTTGTCTACCCCCAGCTATATCTCCCAGTCAGGTCCTATCGAAGCAAGCTCATGATAGCTTGGATCATTTCATTCCTCTCCGAATGCCTGATCGAGCTGATGCTGATAAGTTGCTACACGATGTCAGTTTGAGAATTTCCTCTGATTGTAAGTGGGCCCGGATTTCCGCCGAAAATGTGGACTCAGTTCTTCGTGTTCGATCTACCTTTGCTCATACTTCTGCTGCCCGTTCCGACTTTTCTGTCTTATCTGTTGGGGACCATGTTCTCCGATACAACTTTGGTAGATCTAAGCTCAGCCAGAAATGGCTTGTTGACCAGGTCTACGTGGTCCGTGCTATTAAAGGAGCTGTAGCTGCTATATCTCCTATTAACTCTCCTTCTCTGTCCTATGAATATATTGATAACTTGAAGATAGTCACTTCTGCGGCGGGAGAGTGTTGATAACTTATCAATGATAACAAGATAGATATCTTGCTCTCTTGCTCTTCTTTGTATAATCTATAGCTGACACCTTAACAGACTTTATGCAACACGCTTAACCTATGCGTGCCAGCGGAGCGATGGATGTCATGTTTGTCGAAAAAAGAGACTATTTGCGATGGAGGGGCCCCTCCGTGCAGTAAACCCAAGCCACAGTATCACTGCTTCCTATGGTACGAATACGAATGCGGGTATTCCGCAGCGCGAGAAGCAGGAGGGTTTAATATGCTACTCCGTGAATCAACGCTGAATTAAAGAAGTCGATGGTGGCAGGCTTGTCATGTTCTATGGCCGGGCCAGTGGCCCTTCGACGATCATCGAGGCTCCACGCTGTGGTTGATGATTCAGCTCACTCGCATTCCACAGCTAGAAAGAGCACCGTTGGGGTATCGAGGGGTTCTCAAACTACCAGACCACCACGTAAGGGAGAGTGATAGAAGCATACCCTCTGCTGGGTTGTATATGGACTTTCCGTAGGGAAAAAGGACGTACCCTTCAAGCCAGCAAGATGTCGGAAGAGTTCTCGATTGAGTAGAAGAAGAGACAGTATTGTTGATGAGGAGGCGGAGTTTAGTACACCGCCGAGACTGCTTGGGCAGATGGAATCTCCCCAAGAAGTGTGGATGGTGTGGTATGGACGTTATTGGTATCGACTGCTGGTCAGTTATCTGAGTGGTGGACCAGCGACTACGACGCCTGTCCGCCTTATTTTGCTCATGAGAACCATCCGTTGTACGATTTACGGTACTCGCCTCCCAGCCAAGACGATCGGCATTGGAGGCGAATTATTAGAAAGTCCACAAAAATGAGAAGTACGATGGGGAGGGGTTGGAACGACTCGAACAACGGTCGGGTATTCAGATGCATGCGGCGATGGTATGCTTAGACGACGAGGAGGTAGGAGTAGTCTCGCATCGAGACGTAGTAGTTTATCTAGTGCTTTCACTGATGTATGTTCACCCCCCTTATGCGTTTGGCACTACTCTGTAGGTAGTTGAAGACTTTGGTGACTACCCTGATCTAGCGCACCTCAAGGAGGTCAATGATGATCTCAACGACGACCCCACTGTGGTCGACTCGAGTGGGTTAAGGGGAGTCCCTCCATCTCATTTTTTGGGACGCTCTGATAGATACCATTCGTAGAAGCTCTCGGCTGCAACCGGATGCCTCGAGGCCCGCCCGGTGTGCCAGGGTGAGGTTGTAAGGCTACTACTAACGACATGTCGAATTCGATCCTCATCATTATTATTATTACGAGGAGCAGAGTCTCTCTATTGTCTGTCTTGTTGAGTTCGTCATAAACGCTCATACCGTGTTGTGGTATATTATCAGCAGTTCCGAAGAAGCGCTTTAACACGACCGTTCAAGATTAGCAATAGGAGTCCGGTATGAGTACTACCGAGACCTCCGGAGGCTATTTTGCATCCTTTCCGACCCTCTTGAGGCCATTCAGTGGTCTACAAGTAACAAGGCATGCCGTAGTAAGAGCAAGTCTGGGAGGTCGTTCCGGAGGTCTCCATCAATTCGGTGCTGAGTTATCATCAACTCTTATCGGCATTGGGAGAAGCTCGACAGCTCCCTCTATGGCACGGGGCGGGGGTCGAAGGCGATATTAGAAGATGCTCGCCAACGCGGGTTGTACAACAACCCGGGAAAGTACCAGGAGCCTCGACCTCTTCAATGGGCAGATTGACGCTACCGTGTTGGAATCTGGGTTGGAGCTGATTTTGCCTTCTCGATTGGCAGTAAGGGTTCTGATGTTTTTGAGTGGAGGGTTGATTCACGACTCGGGTGTTGGATTGTTAATGGGAATTTACTCACTATTCCGTTACTGGCCGGAACGTGCAAGAACTTGATAGTTTTGGACGGTACAAACAGCGTTACAAAGCATGGTTGAATGGCACGGACGACGGAGAGGGATACAGCCAGCTTGTATGTGGATATCGTGATAAGCTTGATAGCTTGGTCTATAATGAACAACTAAAAATGCTGCGGCCTTTGCCGAGGAGGCTCCTCTCTAGTGATCTATCCGTTGATCTCCGAAAAGAGAGGTTGTCGAGGGGCTGCCTCTGGAATAACGATCGTAGACTCCAATTTGTAGTGATCGGCGTGTCCATCCGAAATGGTTACGAAACGGCTTTGTTTTATCTGAACGTGTTGCAGTTGTGACCTCAATAGATCTAGATTCACGAGAGGATTGCGATGGGTGTCGACTATTCGGATGAGTCGTATACAGAGTATCCCCACAGAGAGTGAACTCTGAGCCGTAGCGTAGAGGTAGAAATGCGAGAATAAAAACGTCACGCGCCACGAAATTATCCACCACTGATAGGAGGAATGAGTGCAAGCTCATCATTAGGTTTAATCTGTGTTGTAGCCTCTCGGTCGAGCGCCACGTACTCCTCGTTCAATGCGAAGATCGATCGTGGTAGTAACTGAAGAGTAGACTACGTGGGGGCTTTTGAGATGGTAAGAGCTTACTCGAGCTAACTGGGGGTAGTCAGAAGCCAAACTGGTCCGAACTCCGCCGACTGTCCTATTGCGGCCAACTTTAGTGAATACCACCTTAGCTGAGGAGAACAATGTGATCGTAGATGACATGGATTGGCTCACTTCGGGGAGTTAGAACATCTCGTGCGGGACCGAAGAGGAGGACGCTGATGCAACCAGGAGGGGGCGTGCCGACCGCCTCAGAAGGACTGCTGCTAGAGGGTGATGACATCGACAAGCAGACGTCCTTAATGCACTTACATGTTGTGATAAAGCTTGACGACACTTGCAATCAGATCGTCTGATTCAGATGGAGTTAGTCGGAATTCCTCAAAAAAGATGGGGAATCGGGTGATATTAGATATAATCACTCTGGACGTACCACACTTCTCCAACCGTTGGGATCCAATGATGATTAATACCACTCGCAACGCAACTGGTGGTGAATTCAGAAACATCATCATGCAGTGAGGAGACCCTCATCGAAGAATGACTGGAATTTGTAAGAGTCTTCAGCGTATAGAGCTACAGTCGTGGCTTTATTATGCCAACTCGTAAGGATCAAATCGGATGGTATCCATCCGTTTCGTCGCACTATAATGAAGTTGACTACTTGCTGTTCAGTCGTGCCAGGCCGCGCGTAGTAGAGGATCGGAACTGGGTAAGCCTCCCAGGCAACGCCCAAAAGAGCTGCTAACTTCCTCACAGCCGAGGATACGTTCTGATCAGGGGTGACACCCATGAGATCTCTCAGAAGGGTGATGTCATTTGTAGGCAGGGCTGTTTCAGAGGCCGATCGAATGAGTAATTTAGTGACAGTTCTGGACTGTTGTGAACCGTCGATAAACTGGCAAGACCATGACTCGACTATCCTCCCTTTTTCGGAGGTTGGTGGTTGATCTCTGATCTCTGGTTGACGCAATAGGAGGTTGGTAACCTTGTTCGCATCTTGTGTCATCGACCTCAAAGATTCTCTAAGATACTTCCCGAGCCTCCCAGGAACTCGTCCTTGCAACCACCAAAGTTCTGCCGCAGTTTTTATCAAATTATTCTCACCAAAAGCCCCACCGAATGAATACAACTCCCAACACTGAGCGGCCAGCCTCCTCCCCAACTCTGCAACTATTTCGTTCCCCCCATACCCACACAGTGCGCATGCGTGCACTACTGCTGCTAGCGCCGAGAACGACCAACTGCCCTCCTCGCCGAACCAGGCCGAGCTGAAGCTCCTCGGCAACTGATGGGTTCCAATCGATAATGCAAGAGTCGCATTAGCAATGTCAGTCGGATCAGTCAGGCGGAGCGAAGCGTTTTTTGTTTCCATTTTTTCATCGGGGAAGGCTTGGTCCAAACGGTGCCAGAAGATATGCGACGGATCCAAAGCCAGAGACGCGAATCCAGCCGCTGCCCGAGCCAAATGCCTGGACGAAGGCAACTCAGCCGACGAGGAGGATATCAACTTCGAGTAGAGGTCAGCGAGGCCTGAGGGTGAAGGTCGTCAAGTGTGACGTTAACGGAAGTCGGCAACTTCACATGAGATCTCAGGGGTGGCGGTCTGGGCTGGTCTACGGGTGGTGCCCATCCCTGTTGCCGGGACGCTCATGAGCAGCCCCAGGCCGTGAACCAGCTCCGACAGGCTGCGGACGTCAGGTTCGGACAGAGGAGCGAGTCGGATGGAAGCATGGTGTAGTAGAACCTTACTGACCTGACATCCCGAAGACCCAAAGTTCGAACCCTGGTGAGGACATCCTGGATCTACTTCCATCCATGCCCTGTTGTTGTCTTCACACAAGCTGTGTGCTCTCGTCCTCGAGGCCGCCCCAGCAACCATGGCCAGCTCCTGCCAGCTCATCTGATGCACCACCTGAGCAGCTACAAATATTGCCACTACTCATACCACACCTCCGTCACTTCTACCATGCCGAGCCGACTCTGTAATGCCGCATAAACAGACCTCTCCCTTCCCTCCTCCTGTTCGATCGGCTTCCCCTCGTCATCAACTCTAGTCACTGTTTCAGAGTACCTAATTTCACTGGTACATCCCTAATGTGGACTCTTCAACACCGACATCAATTTAGCTAGAGCCTGCCAGATTATGGCCAAGCCCTGAGCGTCCATGAATTTGCATTGGGATGGTATAAACCGCGCACAAGCCGCTACCACTTCCGTGTCTCTCACTGAGACTCGAGCGCAAGCCGAGAGGATCTGAGCCTGACGAGGGACGATTTGGTAGAGTTACGGTATGAAGAGTAATACCAAATCTTTCACATGGATGGTACTCTCGTCATCGCCATCGACCTCGGTGGTGACTAAGATGTCTTCGCGTAGGATCTGCTGGAACATAACGTGTATCGTGAGGGCTGTTGGAAATTTGGAGAAGGCATGGCAGAGGAGGGCGACATCTTTCACGCGGTATCTAAGAGTATCCAAGGTCGAACATGGTAAGATACAAAATAGGTTCACTTCGATTGCGTAGGTTTATGCCTCTTCCCCAAGGCTCCAGCGAAGCAATCGAAAACTTCTGTAATGCTCGGCATGCCCTCCTCCCCTCCCATCAACTTTATGCACCCATCCTCAGCTGCCAGGCGGACACATGAGGTCGCGATAGCGGCCAGGCTTCGGCAAGAGAAAGTATCCACTCGAGCCATGGCACGACGTAGACACGCTTTTACCACTGCTGTCGATTCTGATGGAAAAAGCGTAAAACTAACAACAATGCGGTTCATGCGCCCGTACGATATACCTTCATCGAGGCTCCTAGGAGCCCTTGTGCATGCGTGCAGAATATAAGACGTATCCAGGTGCGATGGGTTCATCCTGGGCTCCATTACATCTACTGCCCTAACGAGAGCTCCCATACCTCCTCCTCTCCTTCTTCCTTCCCAGTACTACTGTGCTAAAGCGGCCCTCCACATGTCCATACCACTCCTTCTCTTCTTCGCCAGAGTTGTCAGCACTCTTCTAACATCACTCGCCCTCAGCGTACTAGCTTCCGAGGCTAACAGTCTTGACGGGATGACCATGAAGTACCTCTGCCGAAGAGCAGATGCTTCCCGAGCTCCCAACACGACAACGTTAGCGATGGTAAACGTCTACGATAAAGAGATAGCTGGAAATGCTACTACTAGCTTCAATAACTTAACCAGCGATTGACGACCGAGATCTCGACGAAGGATGGTATCACAGCAACAACCCATAGAGGAGTTTGCCCACACTCTCCCTCAACGTGGAGATGAGCTGACCTTCCCAGTTGTCGATGACCAACCCCTTCCGCACCGCAGTCAGACCCCTCAATGATGACTACCCCAGTCCCCTTTCCTACAACTGCATTGAAGACAGCAACAACGCCCTCCACGATGATCTATCGATACTCCCACTTCGAGGAGATCCCAAACACCAGTCAAGTAGGAAGTCGTTGTTCGAATAGACGTTTCATGCTGCATTCCGAATGCTACTACCCCTTCATACGCATGCCAAGTACTTCCTCTCTACCCCTCCCTCCCTCCAGAGTCTGTTCTCTTCCCTTCGTGCGACACACATACCCCAAGAGCACTAATGTTGAGGCTAGTAGAAACGAAGCTCTATACTTCTGCACTCCTGCCACTCCTCACGTGGTGTTACCGTTTCTATCCCAGGGGCGAACAATAAATTAAACAATTTTTGGGAAAGTATATTATGAACGAAAAATGCTGCCAAACACCAAATCACCATCACCTGTCTTGCTCAGCAGTGAACTAAGTCCAACTACAAAAGTTCACATCTCTGGTAGGTAGCAGTCCCACTTGCTTGAACGGCCTTAGGCAGACTCGGCAACAGGAATTTCATATATAGGGCTAATACACCCTCCAATAAAACCAATCTCAAAGTCCTTTATCCCGACGATAATTATGCTACTGAACCGTTATCAATTATTTCATCATCTTCACCGACAGCTTGGCGTTTGCAAACTGCTTACAATCAGAACCCTTCATCACCAACGATGGTCAAAGCTGTCTTACTTTCTCTCCGAAGTGGCTTCATCAGGATTAACTACCGTTTATATGTACTTTGAGTAACCACTACTCGATTATCATACCACTCCTCGCCCACTTCACAAACTCAACAACAATCTACAAACCCTTCAAGGCCAACTACTGGCTCGGACAGCAGCTATTGGTCTCTAGTAAGGTAAGCTTCCCTTAATCGAAGAGGTCGAAACCCATATCCTCATCCTCCTCCTCTTCCTCCTCCTCAACCTTAGCCTCCTCAGCAGGAGCAGCCTCGCCACCAGCAGCGGCGGCACCACCAGCGGGGGCGGCAGCGACGGCACCAACAGAGCCAGCAGCAGAGAGCATCTCAGAGACGTCCTTGCCCTTCAACATGCGGGCGAAGAGAACAGGCCAGTAGGACTCAACGTGCTGAAAAGGAGAAATCACAACTTGCAGAAGCAACTCCACTTCCTCCCTACCCTAGCGCCACTGGCGTGGATGAGACTGTTGATGTTCTCAGAAGTGATCTCAAGATCCGAGTCGTGGAGGAGGAGGGCGGCGTAGGTGCACAAGAGCTCATCACGCTCAGTGCCGGGGATATCGTGAGTAGGAACAGCAGCCATGACTAGAGAGGCAAAGCGGTTTAAGCTGTCTGCAGTGGGCAGATATAGTACAGAACACCTTCATCTAAGCGCTATCGAATAATCGATTACCTTGGCGAGCGAGATTGACAGCACGTTTTCTACCTTGATGATTTGCCTCAAGTGAGCCTGGGGCCTATTTCATGAAGGTAAGGAGAGGCACTTTAAGGAAGTTATAAAATACAGGTGAGGGAAAGAAGATCAAGAAATTCAACGTGCTCGGGTTGTTAGGGGTTATGAAAATGGATTAAAATGACGACCTGCCATAATAGAACCCAGAACCTTCGTCAACAAAGTCGAACACCTTAACCTCTAAGCTATCACTCAATTACACAAAGGAACTCGAGAGATATCTGAGCACCTGCATGGAGCATCTAGTGGATAGTCTACTTAGTCACTACGACAGGTCGATGCACCTTGGCTCCGATGATCCTCAAGTTCAATTTTTCATCGACAGCCATACCACTGCTTCAAACAACGCAACAAGATGAGATAGATCGGCTCAGTCTGTCATTCACAAGAGGTTCCTTTCATGACAGGGAGAAGAGGCGTTTCGAGTAGTAGCATCGTCTCCGACATTGTAACTATTGATTTAATCATAGCTCCCGATTTACTGATATCCTTTCCGAAGATTTCAAATGTTGTTACGGGACACCGGTATCCAACGGTACTCGTAACCAAACACTGAAGGATTCAGTGTGGTAAAATGAGCGCATGGTCAACCACATGTGTTGGTGACATTTTGTTCTTGAAACGACTACGCCTAAAGCGGCCGGCTCTCTCTGAGCCCAGATGTGTAGGACTGAGGATGATTAAGATGTAGAGTGACAGAGTTCCTGGGACAATACTGCACAAAGGCATAGCGTCGCAGAGTTAAGACCACATTTTCCTTTATCATCCCCGAAGTCTGATGGTTGGTGATACTTAGTCTACGGCTAGGTGAGTTGGGGAGTTGCAAACTACTAACAAAATCAGCTCTTCATCTTCGCCATTCTCCTCGTTGTGTTATCCGACATGGAAACAGAGTTATACACGAAGTCCGTTATGGTAGATTATACAACTCACAATTGGAACGTCCATCAACCTTAGTCAGACATAGTCCAACCGGCCAACCCCATTGACCGCTGGGAGCTGGGCTCACCACGGGGCCGATCGGCTCACTAGCAGGTGCTCTTTCATACTCTTCAATTCCCATCACTCACCGCATTGCGATGATGACTTACAACGCGGAGTAAACTCATAGCAGAAACCCCTTCATAAAATCATGCGGTTAGTCCCCCTCAGACTCCTTCTCAAGAGGCTTCTTCGGGAAGTGCTCCCTTATATAGTGTTGGAACATCCTTTGCCGAGCATCGTGTAACATCAACTGTCGAGGCCTAACAGGGAAATTTATTAATTTCGTACAACCTCCTAAAACATCTTCGGTGGAATATATGTTCGCTCTCCTCAGCTGAGCTCAGGAGTTCCCAAAGCTAATTATACGAATTCTGGCAGAAACCAATAATAATTTCCCAATTTTTCCTCGAAATTTTTTTTATAAAATTTATTAAATTTAATAAAAATTTCTCCCGAAACTACCTCGACTGCAACTCCACGAGCTGAGCATCTATCTTAGCCCATCGGCTCGCTGTGTCCTTACTAATCTAAAGTAACCATCTTCCGCGCACCCAGGGACCTCCCTACCTCCCCGTTATATACCAACTTTTCCAAACCTCGTCTATAGCACATCCTGATGGTATCATACGCGTTAGCTTCTTGGGAGAGCCGTTCTTGCTTCTTCCCTAAGTAGTGAAACCCGCACTACCCAGACCCGCAAAGGTTCGATCCCCACGACCCGCCTTACTCAGTCTTGTTGCACGCTCCTTAGTCCACTGGGAGAAATCAACTTCCCAATGCTTCTTCGGTTTCGCCATAACTTTGAAGCCTCTCACTACCTAAGACACCATCATCACCATATAGGAACGACGAGTCAGCAGTACTTGCCGCCGATAACCTTCCAATCCTCTCAACAGCTCAGTAGGTGGCGCCGAGAGCATTGTTACACCCAAGGGCGCGAGTTCTATCCCCACACCCTGCAATTATCCCCCCACACTAAGTCGAACATCACGAATACGAGGTGAATAAGGATAGCCGCTCTGGAGTGCAGTGCGACTTATATATAATACAATTATAATATGTCAA